CCCGCGGCGGCTGCCATGGCAACGTCTCCGCGTGGGCCGGGCCGCCGGAGCCTCGTTCCAGACAGACCAACGGATCCACTTAGTTCCGCTCTTAGTCTCGCTGTCAACGAGCAAGCGGGCGGGCCGGGCCTGCAACCACGGCAACCGGGCGGTGGGCGGGGTCGTGGAATGAGTTGGAGCGTTGGGACCAATAAGAATCAGTCCAGTCTGCACCCTAGAGCCAATCTGAAAAGGAGAGCATAGTACGAGCAAAACAATTGGACAGAGTTTGCAGCAGCGTGACTGACAGGCCTAGAAACCAATCACAAATTGGACGTCTCAATGCCCCGCCCCGTATCTAGCTACCGGAGCCAATAAAACAGCTAAATTTTAAGACCCTCTTTTTTTTCCTTTCTCCCCCGTAGGATCATGGGAAAGCCGACGAGCAGGTGTTTTAGCCAATTACATTAAGATGATCTACAGCCAATCACGAAGGAAAGCGAAAGAGCCACAGGAAGTACCGCTATGGAGGTAATTTAAATCAATGAATGGAAAAAAAATTAACTTCCCGCAAGATACATAATGTAAATGGGAAAAGGAAAATGTTAAAATTTAGAGTTATCACTACGAACTATGGAATAAATAAAAGCTTTCAAGTACAGTAGATTTTCTTTCGTCAGGGTTTTCCTGGTAACGCCGGCACCGATCACTGTTGTTACAAGAAATGATAATTGATGTAATCAAATCCGAGCAAACACTTAAGTCCGAGAACCAGTGAGCCAGGTAACTCAGGACGCAGAAACAGACCGGGTGTCCTGAAATGCTCACTAGACCCCACCGCAGAAGTCAGACCAGGAAACCAGTGTTCCTGCCGAGCAGGTAGGGGTGAGCTTAGCTTCTTTTCCCTAATGCCCTTCTCTCAATCCCGAACCCCATAAATACTTGTATAAATTAGACAAAAAGTATCATTCCCGTTTTCTACATGAGGAGCTGAAACTAGAAAAATAAGAGGCCTGTTCATAGCTGTCCACCTCTCAGAGGAGCGGTCTTCCTTTCCTTGACAGAAATCTGTACTCTATAGCTCCTCCCAATATACAAACCCCCTCACTCAACATAGGTAAAATGCAATCTTTCTCACTGTTGGAACAGCACTTCCAGATTTTACAGAACTTCGTTGTGAGGCTGATTATTGTCCATGTGGAGAAAATGCTCATATTTATCTCTACCTCCTTCCTCTGTCCCATTATTGTAGACAGCTAATTTAGAAAACATTGTAAAACAGTTGGGCAGCTACGGGACCTCAGCATGGAAGACCAATTTACTAAAGACCAGGATTTGGCTGGGCGTGGTGGCTCACGCCTATAATCGCAGTTGGGAGGCTGAGGCAGGCTGTGAGCTGGAGACCAGCCTGAGCTACCCAGGGAGTTCCAGGTCAGTCTCAACTACATAGTGAGACCCTGTCTCAAAAAACCAAAATAAATAAATAAAAATAAAAAAATTTAAAAAGACCAGGATTCAAGAAAACGAGGAACTGAAGCCAGGTGTGCTGGTGCACACCTGTAATCCCAGCACTCAGGAGGCTGATGCAGGAGGATCGCTATGAGTTCCAGACCAGCCCGAGGTACATAGTGAGTTCCAGGTCAGTCTTAACTACATAGTGAGATCCTGTCTCAAAAAAAAAAAAAGAGGAACTGCTACACCCAAACACTTCCCCTAGGGCTGAACAGCAGTGATTGATGTTCTAAATAGGTATCAATCATCTTGAGTGGGGGCAAATCCTCCCTACCCCATTCCTTCTCAGAAAATTCTTGTTCATTCCTTGTACACTTGCTATGTGATGTGTGCTTCTCTATTTGATCTCCATTTCATCAATGTTACCTAAGCAGGGCCAGGGATTTAGCTCAGTGGTTCCACTGACTGCCTCGCAAGCACAAGGTCCCAAGCTAACCCGAAAAAAAAAAAAAAAAAAAAAAAAAAAAAAGGAATGAAATATTACTTAAGCAGCTTTACTTGGTGCAATATTATTGGTTGACCATAGTTTTGTCCCACCTCTTACCTACCTTGTGATTTCCCTGTGGACCAATATTACCTAAACAACTATACCTGTAATCTTATTAGTTGTCTACAGTTCTGTCCAACCTTGAACCCGCCTTACCTCATGACTTTGCTCAATAAAATACCCTTGAGAAGGGGGGGTGTCAGTGAGCTACCCACTTTCCGGACCCCCTTCTGTCTCTCTTAGAAGCTATTGTTCTCTTAATAAATTTTCTTCCTACTTCTTTAAAAAATAAAATTTCATTGGGATACATTTGCTCTCACAGGTTTATTTTCTTTTCCTTTCTTTTTTTTTTCTTTTTTTTTGGTACCCGGGATCGAACTTGGGTACTTGTGCTTGCAAGACAGACAGTGGAAACATTGAGTTAAATCCCTGGCCCTCCTTTTTTTTTTTTTTTTTTTTTGGTACCGGAGGTTGAACTCAGGCCCTTGAGCTTGCAAATCAAGTGGTAGAACCACTGAGCCAAATCCCCGGCCCTAATTCTTCCTACTTTTAACCCCCATTCTTCCTAGAATTCATTCTTCAATTTTAGAGAACACAAACCCAGTGTGCTGGACATCTAGCAGGATGGAAGTTATAATATTTCCTTTATATTATTTGGAGGTCTATAGATCATATGCCTTATATCACCATAAGCTATTAGGACATCCACCAACTCCACTAGTAGCTAGAAAGAAACTGGGGAGAGAAACAGACATTGACTGTCAGGCCTGTCCTAAATCAACAGGAAAAAAATAAACAGGCTGCTTTTAGCAAATAACAGCAGCTTGCCAGTAAGTGAGGCAAATGGACTAAAAAATATGGTTTATAATCCCCTGGTTCCAAAAAGTCTAGTAGCTGTATACTTACCTGAACAGACCGTCTTTGGGCAGCTAAGTAATGAATATTGTCGCCCCATATTCCTTAGCCCCTCCAATACTTATATAAGCCTAATTCCGTTCTCAGTGAATTGCTGATATCCCTTCCCATGGCATTAGCCCATCCTCTCAGGGATGAAATCTCTTCCCGCTAGCCGCCACTCTGTCCCATCCGGATGTCAGCCCATCTGCATACAGATGTGATCAACTTGGCTGTTCCCACCTAGCTTCTACAATCTCCTGATGTCTAGTCCCCATTAACTGGAATAAACTTTTCTTTTTCTCACAATGGAAAGCCTATTTTTTATTGACAAGTGGATTTTTTTTTTTTTGGTACTACAGTTCGAACTTGAGACCTTGTACTTATGAAGCAGGTGGCGGAACCACTGGGCTAAATCTCCAGCCCTTGACAAGTGGATTCTTTATAACATTGACCATGTGAGATTTTCTTTCTTTTTTCTTTTTTCTTTTTTTCTTTCTTTTTTTTTTTTTTTTTGAGACAGGGTCTCACTATGTAGTTGAGACTGACCTGGAACTATGTAGCCCAGGCTGGTCTTGAACTCACAGTGATCCTCTGGCCTCAGCCTCCTGAGTGCTGGGATTACAGATGTGCACCACCATGCCCAGCTGACCATGTGAAATTTATGAAGTGCATGGTATATTTTACCTCACAGAGACTTAGCAGCTTAATCAAGTAACTTTTAAAAAAATTTTTAAATTTAAAAAAAAATTTTCAGTGCTGGGGCTCAATTCCAGAGCCTAATGCATACTACTAGAAAACCGTCTTATCGCTGAGCTACAACCCCAGCCCCCTGCTATATATTATGCCTACTTTGCAGATCTGGAAACAGAGGCTCTTAGATGTTATGCAATTTGTCGAAGGGTAGGGATCTAAAAAGTCAAAGAACTGGGTAGCGCGTGTTTATAATTCTATCTACTTGTGAGGCTGAGGCAGGAGCACTGCAAATTCAAGACCAGCTTTTGCAACTTTGCAAGACACTATCTTAAAATAAAATGAGAGAAGGACCAAGGTTGTAGCTCAGTGATACAACACTTCCTAGCATGCATTGGGAACCCTGGGTTCTATTGTGGTAAAAAAGCTGGAGAGCTGAGATTTGAACCCAGACCTGTCCTCTCAGCCATACCCCTGTCCTAAATGGAAACCTGCTAGAAACCTAGTTCCAGAGAATTCAAGCATTGTGCGGCATTTCCACCTAACTACTGCTGACTGTACCCTGAAATAACTTTAGTATTAATTCCTCACTTTCCATATAATAACCGCCCAAATCATCTTCGTCACTCCAGTTTATTTTCATGAGATCCAAGATGAATACGCTGCAACTTCTACATCTTGTCTCTAGAAGTGCTGCCCATTAAGATCATGGTGAGTTTCAAACAGTTTATTCTGGGTGTCAGGAACCTTGGGGATTTGAACAAATTATCTTTTTCACTGTTCCTATTCTCTTTTTTGTTTTGTTTTGTTTTTTTGAGACAGGGTCTCACTATGTAGTTGTGACTGACCTGGAACTCACTATGTAGCCCAGGCTGGTCTTGAACTCACAGGGATTCTCCTGCCTCAGCCTCCTGAGTGCTGGGATTACAGGCATGCGCCCCCACACC